AGAGGATTTAGTGAATGCTAAACATGTTTTGAGGTATCTGAAAGGTACTTGTGACTATGAACTTAGTTTCAAGAAAAGCAATGAAGACTTGAACCTCATAGCCTACAGTGACTCTGACTGGGCATCCTCAGTAGAGGACAGACGCAGCACCACAGGTTATTGTTTTAGTTTAACGTCACAAGGTCCAGCCATTTCCTGGAAATCCAAGAAACAACCAACTGTGGCTCTTTCCACCTGTGAGGCTGAATACATTGGGTTAACAGCTGCTACACAAGAAAGTCTACATTTAAGTCAACTCTTAAATGGTATGGATAGCAAAAAGTACAGCTGTACAACGCTTCATGGTGATAACCAAGGGGCCATTGCATTGTGTAGGAACCCTGTGAACAGACAGAAATCCAAACACATTGATGTGAAGTATAATTTTATACGTGATGCATTGAGAGAAGGGAAAATAAATGTGGTGTACTGCCCATCTGAAAATATGGTTGCTGATATCTTAACCAAACCCGCACCAAAAGCAAAATTCCTGAAATTCAAAGGATGGTTTTTTGGACATTAAGTATTTGAAAGTAAAGAAGATGAGAACAAGGGAGGGTGTTAGAATATGTTCTCATCTTAACTTGTCTTTGAGTTATTTTGTGTTATGTGTTCATGCATTCTAATTTACATTGAAAGGTACAGTTGTAAGTTCTGCATCCTGTCACTTTCTGTTTATGTGCATGTTGTACTGCTGTTGTCCACTGGGGGCAGTGAGAGCAAGTTTGTGTGTAGGCTGCATTGTTCTAATAAAATAGAAGAAGTGAAGACGTTGATAACTGGAACGCTAGCAATAAAGTGAACACAGCTATCCAACAAAAGAAGTGTGGTTTATTGTCAAACATGAGTACTGAACAAGAAAACGCAACAAGGCAGCTTAAGAGTTTTATTTCTGACATCTTTTCAACATGTTTTCTGTTTTGCTCCACATTGATTGTATATACATATATATGAGTGTCAGCTGCTGATCTCTGAAACAGGTGAGTTCATACGCTTATGCAATAAAGTTAATTTTAGCACATTTTTAATGTAGCTTAATGACTACATTTATGAATTTGACAATGCATATTTTACCAATTATTTTGCTAAAAATAGATGGAGGTTTGGCCTCTCTAGTTTTTAAAGAGAAATTTCCACTGCAGTGTTTGCTGTTACAACAGGGGAAAAAGACAAAGCCAGCAAGAAAAAGTCAGAAAGATGCATCCTCATGGAGAACACATTGGTTCAGCATAAATTCCCATGTGGCAGCAGCATGGGATCCGTTACGCTTTGAACTTTTAATTAGCAGTAAAGTCAGCACATTATCCAGTTATAATCAATGAGGTAACTCTGCTTACACATAGATTTAGTGCCATTAGGGAATTATGTGCTACCAGATTCTCACTCTTCAACTGTAACGTATTTTAAACAATGATGTAAAAAATATATAGACCAAATAGCTTTCACACATGTAGAAAAATTAAAAAGTTCTTATGGCAACAATTGTTTAACCTAATTTAAGCACAAACTAAACCACACTAAGCCAATATCCTCTACTTTTTACAAGGGTTATCATGATACTAGAAAGTCAAACTCAATACCCAGAAAAATATACCTTTTTTAATACTGTATGGGTAAAAAAAGACAAATAAGGGCATAAAAAATATTTTCATTAATATGTTCCACGTGAAATAATTTTCAACAGAATCATAGAAGTTAGTTAAATAAATGTGCAAATAAGTATAAAAGAAATAACTAATCTATGACAATATTCTAAAGTTGTTTGAAGCATTATTCTTTTATTGTTCAAATAATATAGATATCTAAAATAAACCAAAATATAATTATGTTAACAATTGTTTTTAATATCGATACCATACCAAAATTAGCGCTGTATCCAGATACAGCGTTTGAATATCAATACTTTTTGGAGCATGGATATTTTTCATGATCCTACTTAGGAAAATAGAAATATTGACAATAAGAACATTTGGAATATATCAGAGGGACTGATAAAGGAAAATTCCTGTTTTATTTTTTATAATTTAACTGCTGTTAATTACTGTGGTTTATGTATACATACTATTTAAAACAAATAAACCTGCTTTAGGAGAAACCATGGACCTCTGGAAGTTTGCTTTTTCTTTACACAGAGTTGCACTGACTAGAAAAAATATCCATTGGTAATTTGAAATTTAAACATTCAGCTGAATATAGCTTAGATTAAAAAAATCACAAGCATAGGTTTATTTTCCTGCTCTGCAGAAGCAGAGTATGCAATCTTTACATCATCAGCACCACCAACAAATGTAAAAAGTAAATATTTCCCTGAGGGTCATTGGGTCAAAGTGTCTATTAAAGCATTTCTAAAGGAACTGTATCAGAGCAGCAGGATGCACTTCAGTTTCGAAAACTGTGGTCAAACTGTTTTTTATTTTACTTCATTTGCTGACATGGCTCCCCCTGCCTGGTAATGCGGCAGTCACCTGATTCTGGCTGGCTGGAACAGGGATGCATCTTCGAGCCCCATTCCCACAGACTGACACTCTGGGTCTCTGTGCAACACCTTTAACCCCACATTGCTCCCCGTGCGCTGTACAATGGCAGCCCACTGCACCCCAAGGGGATGGGTTAAATGCAGAGATAAATTTCTCCAATGTGAGATCAATAAAATTCAATTATTATTATGTGTCCTTCTTCTTTGTCTTCATCTGACCCTATCTTCAGCATCTTTTTCTCTTCAGGTATATTTTCAAAACATCCTCTGATCCTATCCATCATAAAGAGAAACTCAACATTCTCATCTCTGCTACCTAAACCGTTCATCATTGCTGGTCTCATCACAGGCTTGTACACATTTCCTTTCTTCCTTGCAGATATTCTCCTATCAGACAGAATGTCTGATTCCTTTCTCCAACCATTCCAGCCAGCTTAGAAACACTTCTTTACCTATTTTCCACATTTACCGCCGTTTGCTCCACTTTGGATCCTCTCATTCTCACACAGATCATAATGTCATCTGCAAACATCATAGTCCACTGAGACGCTAACATGGGTAAGGACTAGAAATATTTAAAACCAAAAGAAAAGAAAGCAGTTTAGTCATCACCCATCAACCTAGAAGTGTGTGTATTTCTGGAAGTATTTATTACACATTTATGAACTGTAGCTCATGAGCCAGCAGGACTTGCCAAGATCTACAGCATACACTGGGGGGTTCACAGCCAAGTGTGAAGGGGAAAGGATGGGAATCAGCTCATCCAAGTCTGAGACTATGCTTAGGTGGCTTGTCTCCTTCAGGTCGGAGGAGTGTTCCTGCCTCTAGTTTAAGTATCTTGGGGTCCTGTTCACGAGTGAGGGGAGAAAAGAGCGGGAGGTCGATAGAGGGATGGATGTGGGTGCTGCTATAATGCGGACAATACACCAGGCTATTGTGGTAAAGACAGAGCCGAGCGAAAAGGCAAAGCTCTCCATTTACTGGCTGGTCTACTTTCCTATCCTCACCTATGGTTTTAAAATCTGGATCATGACCCGAAAGAATGAGATCCTGGATATAAGCAGATGAAATGACATTTCCCCTGCAGCGGCTGGGCTCTGCCTTAGAAATAGGGGGAGGAGCTCTGTTGCTTGGACTGATATTTGGATAAAGCCAACATTCAAGTGTTCGCTACAATAACCATTGGTACATTTGGAGAACAAAGTGGGAAGCCTGCAAGCTTTAGCCCTCCATCCTAACTGTGACACATCGGGCTGGGAGGATCATAACATGGGGGTGCTTTGCTGCAGGAGGATGTGGTCCACCTTACAAAATAGATTGCATAATGAACAATAGGATCTCTGAAGTCAGACAGGAATATGGTCAACAAAATCACTTCAGAAAATCTACTGTCCTACCAAGGTCTCATCAATAGACATGGCATTGATTTTAATAACTTTACTAATACTTTGTATTATGCAAATATGGGGAACTGATAGAGACAATCTTAAATAACCAACTACTATTACATAGATCGGTGAATTACAACTCCAGTCCACAAGATCTCCTGCCCTTCACTTCATAGATGCATCCCTGATTCAGCCAACCAGAATCAAATGGCATGCCGAGGAGATAATCAGTCATTTGGTTCAATTTGTTGGAGTAGGGATGTTCCTAAAAGTTACAGGGAAGTAGATCCCAAGGACTGGAGTTAGAGACCGACCGCTGCCATAGATGAATGACTGAAGGTCAAATCCTACCACTGTACCATAGAGTGGTGGTTGCTTTTTTACCAGACCATCTATGGCCAAGCCACCTCAACCCAGTTTTTCATTTTTTCCCCCCTTAAAACGATTTAATCTAAAACCTGCAGATGACCTAATGTCCAGCTCTCCAGCAGATGACAAACAGACCAGTCAGAAATACACTATGTGTGTATATTTAGCCCTAATATCTCTTAAGCTCACATATTTTACATGCCGGATGGCATATTCCATTTTGCATAACAACTCCCCCCCATCCCCTACCTCCTTGGCACGAAAATAGCCCTCCTGTGTGTTCCCTCCTGTAGCGTTCACTCATATCTCTGCACAAACAGCAGCTTGAGTTAATAAAACTGTCCAGTTAAGCCCGGCTTCAAGCCTGAAAGAATTCCTCACATTCTGTAACATCGGAGTCAGTTCGAACTTAACATGCTAACAGCACCAAATTCCCAACCACCAACCCCCCTTTGTAACATTTTTCTTTAACATTACAATAACTAGCGAATATATGAAAAAAGGTTCAATTTATTGAAATTCCATAGGACTTTTCTGGGAAGCAATCACCACAAAACAAACAGAAAATTGTCTCAGAAATCCTCTACTATGATACCATCTAAGAGGTATTACTGTAGATGTGTCCTTCACCCCGCTCATCAACATACTTCTCATTACTCCTAATATGTGCTTTAAAACACAGTTTTATCTATCAGATTTGTTGACGTTCTAAATATGAAACTACTTACAAGCGAGCATAAAAGTCACAAAATTCTTTATAGACTTTGACGTCGCTTTTCCGCCTCTGAGACTTGGACACTGGGACTTCAGCCTCTCCCCCGTCCCCATCCTGAAGCCTCTGGTGGTATCCGTTCATCTCTCTGTGGTGGATGTGGTCCAGGGCTTCGCCATCCTCAGGTATTGAAGGTGGCAGGGCGCGACCGTTCATTTCCACGTTCATCTCCAGCCGACTTATTCCAGGAGACAACCCCGGGGACTCTGAGGTCTGAGCGACTGCTGTCAGCTCTTCCTGTGCTCCAGTTAAAATCCTCTGTGATTGTTTTAAGTGTTGGAGCTGCTTCTCACATAGCAGGAGGGAGAAAGAGACGCAGATCAAACTGTGCTGGGAAATCTCTCCCTCCCTCCCTCCTTCGCTCTCTCTTTCTTTCAAAAACACTGACTCCGTCACTGATGGACTCAACACTCCCTCCTTCCTCTGTTGCCCTTATTACTCTCTTATTCAGTTACACTCCCAGCCTCCCGTCCTGTCAAACCCGCTATCTATTCTTGAACAGGATACTGAAATAAAGAGCCCACCCTGACGCCTGTGGAGACAGAGGTCACCGTGTCATATTGATGTACACAAACACATGTCCTAGTTCAACTTTTTAATTATTTCTTCCTATGATTTACACCTTGAAAGGCTTCAACTGTTTTTATTGTGGCTTTTAGGCGTTTGAGCTCTCTTGAAGAAGTCATGCAGAATAATAAACACAATGTCCATAATTCAGAAACTGACAAAAAAAGAAAGTAGAGCAAACCAAAAACTACATTTGTGACATCATCCGTCCATTTTCAACAAACCAAAAACTGCTGAAAGTGGTTGAGCAATGCGAGACGAATTCAGTCAACAGGCTTGGTTAAGAAAAATACTGAAAATTTGAACTTTATGTTCACCTTTTTTAATAACTGAAACCAATGCTAAGAATTCCCTTAATGTGCTTAGTTAGGAGCTATTTATTTCCAGCTTGTAAGGAGCGAGGCTGACCCTTGGACACAAGTTTAACTTGAATGCAAGTCTTAAACCTAAACAGTAAAACTATTTGGATCAATTATAAAATATTCTAATCCCTCAAAATCCCTCAATGGCCTTAGTATGGACATTCCTCCAAACCCTAATTCTGCCTCGTTTATGGGGGGGGGGGGGGGGGGGGGGGGGGGGGGGTGGATAGCTCCTAATGTGGTTGCACTCAAACTGGCTCCAAAATTCAGCCACCAGGCCAGATCCGGAAATAATCTCTAGTGAGACAAACAACTTTGACAATCAAACGGCGAAGCAGCTGCTGCTTTATTACAGCAGAACGAAGGATTTATTAATGAGTGTGGGAGTCTACGTCATGGTGTGCAAGCCCTGTGTGTGTCTGTCCAGCTGAGCCATGTCTCTATGAAGTAGTCTTCCTGACTCCACTCTACAAATAGATGTTCATTGGAGCCTCAACTCCAAACTAGGTGATTGCAGCTGCTAGTTTGTGTATATATGTGTCTCTGTGTGTGTGGAAGTTTGTATACAGAAAGAGAGAGAGACATCTCTGTCTTCTTTGAATGGAGCCACTTAACTGCACCTAAAGATCTATTTTTCTACTTCTTTTTAAACATAAATATTTCCAATCTTGGGGATATTATTGTTTTTTTGAACATAATCAGAGATGTCATTGTTCTCTATTCAGAGTAGGGATGTTTAAAAAAAAAAAAAAATAAAACGTACATGAGCTCATGGTCTGCCTTAATGCCTTACGGTCATGCCAATTTTGGTCGGTTATAGGGACATCGTGCAGCATTTTCTCTTTTCTAAAATCAATGACTGCATTTAAATGTGTGATTATTGGCGTATCATTACCTCCACTATTAATCAGAGACATTTTCCTTTATTTCAGTTTATACGTAAAGCTGGTCACCCGTCTGCCATCTTCAAAGTATAGATGCCAGCAAGGGATAAGAACTACTTACGTTCAGAATACTGCCCCTGCTGGCAGTGACGAAGATCATTAGGAGATGTTAACCCAACAACTGAAACTGTTAGACTGTTATTGATGATGTATGAGTCTATCCATCCATTATCTGACACACTTTAACCCGAGTGGGGTCGCGATATCTCCAGCTGTCTATTGGCGGGAGGCGGGGTACAACCTGGACAGGTCAGGGTGCAGGGCAACACAGAGACAAACAGGACAAACAACCATTCACACACACACTCACAGAGAATTTAGAGAAGCCAATTAACCTTTACAAGAAAATTTGAAAGACAATTTACCTTTACTGCCAATTAACAGTCATGTGTACCTGCTCCATGCAGAAAGACCTTGGGCCGGGAAACCAACCCCGATCCTTCTTGCTGCAAGGCAGCAATGCTACCAACTCCGCCACTGAGCAGCCACTGTGCGCGTCTATTAAACCCTCATATTACCTGCCTGTTGTGTGACAGAACTAATGTTTCCCCAAGTTGTGAGTTTATGTGATTAGGCCAGTTGTTCTGTCAGGATAAAAGGTCAGCTTCATTATGTATGTGGTAAAGATTTGGGAATGCAATGAGAGCGGTGTCCTTGATCTAAGAACAAAGAGTAATATTTAATATAGGCTGGAGCCATGGATGTCTTCTTATCTGCAAATGTGTATGATGAAATGATGTGATAATGTGGCATACTTGAGATGTATAAAATGCTTCTCTAACTGTGATTTGAGGCCACTTCATGAGAGGTGAGCCTGGTTGGGTTGGTAAGCAGCTGCCTTCTGTAACTCAAAGCAACTCCTCTGATCTGAGTAAAGTGACAATTTCTGTCAAAATCTGTTGTCATGTCTCATGGTTATTTAGTTCATATACATTATGAAGTGTTATTTAATGAGTTTGTCCCGAGTGATCTCTTTTCAGGAAAAGCACCAGAGAGACAAAGCTTCAAGGTGTAAACACAGAGATTTCGATAACAAGGACTGTACAAAATGGTTTCACCATCTCCAAGGAAGAGAAAAAAAGGAAGTTAAATGACAACAAAACCAGAGACTTAAAAAAAAAAAAAAGATGAAATTCAGGCAAGCTTTTTCCAGATTGAGCTGATGAAGTATGAAGATTTTAAAAGGATTTCTCCTTGACTAGTAAGTTAACTGAATTGCCTAAATCGGCATAAAGCTAACCTTTTCCATTCTGTTTAATTGGACAGTGTTGCTTGTTACCATAGCAAATTTATGCCTATCACACCAATCATATTGGTAGCTGTATTTTTATTAACTTTCAAAGCGGCAGTGAATGCCGCCAGTTTGTAGAGACTTCACTTATCTCTGTTTGAAATGGTTTTCTCTGCGTTGTTGAGGCTTTCAGAAGTTACCCTTGCTGCAATACATGTTTAAGGCAGTGAAACACTGGGGGCCGGATTTATCAAGATCCAATTTTGCGTGCAGTAATTTGCACTCGCAAACTGGAATTTTGCGCAAGGGGCTGAACCATGGTTTGCGGGTGATTTAACAAGAGCGATTGCGTAACTGGTGGCAGGTGCAAAACTGTTGGAGAAACCCTATTTAAATGATGGTTTTGCGCGTTTTGTGGTTTGCGGCATGGTGAGTTTGGACAGCAGAAGGCGCAAAAGAAAATTCGACCCCATGGAAATGGAGGTGTTGGTGGATGAAGCCAACAAACATTTAAGTGAGCTACAGCAAAAAAGTGTGACTGTCACACAGAGGAACGCTATATGTGAACAAATCTGTAATAAAGTAAACGCTGTTGGTGAAACCTTGCGAACAGTGGATGAAGTAAAAAGAAGATACCAGGATATTAGAAGGCGAACCAAAGAAAAACTGGCATATAACAAAACATCTGCGAACAAAACAGGAGGGGGCACAGTAGATGAGATGCCTCTGACCAGCATTGAGGAACAAGTACAGCTGACGCTCTGTGAGGAGCAAATCACTGGATTTGCAGCTCCAAAATGGCAATGCTGGATAAACGATATGTTTTGATGATCGTTTTCTCGTTCATTCCAAAAATATTCAGTCGGAGTGAAAAAATGCGTTCTCTGCGTCTCCTTGCTTCATTTCGATGTCTCCTTCTTGCGACAATAACCGCTGCCATGTGTGCGCAATTACGCATACAGACCATTTGCACCTTCTTTTGAAACGTGTTAAATATAGAGTCAGATACCGTTAGCAAAATTGCTTTCAGGTTTGATAAATCACTTTGCGAGTGCTAAATTAATATATTTACATGTTCTCCTCCCACAAGACGCACTTTTGCGTGTAAACGCCCCATATTGCATATTCATTGCAGAAAAAGTACTAAATGGATAAGAGGCGCTATTTAGCACGTTTTAAAGACCAAATCCTTTTAGCACGCTGTTGATAGATCAGTTTGTACATTTTTTAGCGTGCGCAGTGAAATAGCTCACGTTTTTATACACGCAAACCTTTGATAGATCCGGCCCTGGGTATAGCAGAGCCGTTGAATAGTTGGGTTTTACCAGCGGAAGACCAAGAAAGTTAGGTTGCTAGGGCGTCCAGTAGTTCGGTGTAAGATTTTTTTTTCGATGGCAATGCCAGCATGCATAACTAACTTCCGTCGAACTACTGAAGCTCTGTGCCTTGCCTTTGCTCTTTGAAATGTTGCCCATTGTAGCCAGTGGAGCTGTTAGAACTCTCTTATCCTGGGGTTTAGTCTTGGTTTGAGTGAAATACCCCTATTTCACCACTAGATGACAGTAATCCTTCCACATTATCCCTTCCATAATGATTTGATTTGTCCTTTACTTTGAGGTCAGAATGATGATACGAAAAAAGTAAAAAAAATCATAAAGAGTTGAGAGCCCGGCTGACTAAAACATCCTGAAACATATATGGAGACTCAAACATATACATCCACTAATCTACTACTTAGGTAAATTATACAGAGCATGATGTAGAGAAACCACAGCTGTAACAGTGAGCTAGAATCCTGCATAACGTTATTTAGAATTACTTACTTAAATCAGCCTGTTTGAAGGCACAGACCCAGCTTCTCATAACTTTTAATACATTCAATATTTGTTTTATTTTTAGCAGGGGGACATCAGCAGCTTAAGCTTTACTCTAAGTCGTGTTAAAGATTAAATCCTCTCTGGATGTTCAGACCGCAAAAATAATAATATCTAAAAAATCCTGTGACACCAGAAAGATGCTGATATGAAACTGGCCCAAATGGACAATCAAAGCGCTTTCAAGTTTGATCTGTTTGACCAAAATGATAAAAAGGATGTTTGGAGGAATCAAGGTGGCACTTTAAAGCTCGGTAATAGCAGCATCGTGTTAAAGTTTTTCAGCATTGTTATATAGAAGTTGAAGTTTCTCTAAATATATTCTCAAAATAAACTCAGATGAAATTCTCCCTGTGCATGCGTGGGTTCTCTCCAAAATAAATTCATAATATAAATACAATCTTATTTTATTATATTATTATGATATA